AGAACAGTTGCAAGGAGAATAGCTTTTGTGAAGGCAGGAGCAGCCTTATTGGAGATTTACTTGCAACAAACAGTGACTATTATGGCATTCATCATACACAATATGTCTTATTTAAAACAGCTGCCACATTTTAATAGAAGACAAATTTACATTTGATTAAATGGTTCAATCCAAGAGCAGAATAAACACAGGCAATTAAATGTTTGATTTATTAGCCTGTCGGAGAGATGGCAGTATTGTATACTTGTTTAGGTGTAAATGGATGCCCTGTTATCAAAGCTGTTTGCAATATATGAATAATGCTGAAATCCTGCTATATCTTTTCTTATTTTCACATTGGATGACTGTTTCTCATAAAGAGCCAGGCTCTGCCTGCTGTCCATTGTTAGACAGTGATTTTATGAAAACCATATGATCTCACACTGCTATTTAATAACTGTTCTGGTAACAAATTGAGCCTTGCCGATCTGTCCCGAAGGCCCTCAAGTACCTGGTGTTATTAGAAGCCTGCCAGATTGATAACTCTCAGCTTTTCAACAATTACTTGGTGTCCTGTAATGAAACTAGGTTTACCTCTCACGATGACATATCACGGCTGGAGCGCCAGTGACGAGGGAAAACTCCCATAGCTTGTTGTGACAAACGCCAGCCTCATGCTTGAATTAATCTGTTCTGTAATAGTGCTCATTATTCACAAGTTAAAAGCAATTACAATTTTCACAGTGCATTTGATAATATTGAGTAACTTGATACAATGTGACATGAAGTTGCACGTAAAATGATATTTTTTTAAGCTAATAACTATTGTTATTTTGCAAATTGGAAGGGAACATATTATTTAATTATGCCCGGGAAGGCATGTGACAATGTAATGAGATTGCAAGTGATGGAAATGCCTGGAATAGACAATTTTCTTCTGAATGAATTCAGAATGTATTGTTCATAGTAAATTTGCATTTGAAAGTTGAAACTGAGTAATTATTAACAACTGGTCTCCATGCCATGACTTGAGATTTATTGGTTCTGACTGCAGCTTTTTCACCTTGTATGAAAAGTGTTGTCTCGTGCAGGAATAATTATTTGTTTCTGAACTCTGATGTATTGCATGGTATATGTCATGTCAGCCCCTAGGATGGTTGAGTAGCCCAGTGGTTAAAGCTTTTGCTCGTCACACCGAAGACCCAGGTTCAGTTCTGATGGGTAAAATGTGTGAAGCCCATTTCTGGTGACCCTGTCATATTTCTGGAATATTGCTAAAAGCGCCATAAAACCATACTCACTCTCTCGCTCAAGTAAAGCCTAGTAAATAATTTGTAGTAATAAACCTATTGCAGTTAATAGTAATTGATGTTTTTGTTCATTATTGTTGGAAACCTGAAAACTGTTCAGCCCCTGGATTCTCCCACCACAAGGAAAAAGATGCACAACCAGAAGCATTGCATCCCTAATGAATTATTTCTGATAAAATGGCATATGGCTGTATTTTCAACCGTGTGTGGATTGCAGATAGAACTAACTGATTTAAATGGTCTCTTGATGTTTGTCTTGAGTTGACTGATTTCGGAGAGTATATGGATGAAATTCATTGAGTTAGATGTGCATTTCGTTCATACAGCAGGGTATGATTAAATATACATTCAATTTGTGCAACAGAGCCAACATTGGAAGAGTAGAATACAGCCTTCTTACAAACCTTTCACCACGACCGACTTGTCCATGCAGCTCAGTTCCATAACCAATGCCGAATGTAATCCCATTTCCACTCAAGATAGGAAATTATTCGTACATCCCATTTCTTGTTGGTAATTGCCTGTTGCCACTTTGTCCTGTGGTTTTGTTAAGTCCTGTTCTATTGGTGTGCATGTCTCCCATACATCATGAGTTGAAGCAACAGCAGGAAATTGAACATAGATTTCCAATCTTGTGTAATGGCACTTGCGGTCATGGTGGTAGCAGATTCAGCACCAGACCTGGACGCTTGGGACCATGTGCTTGACAACTGCTGTAGGACAGGGAGTGAAGATTAAACAAGCCTTCCACCCAGATCTGCCTCTATAGAATGGAGAAATAGGAACCAGGTGGACATGAAGGTTCTTGTAGATTCCTGCCACTTCTCACATGCTGCGACGCTATGTGGAAGGCTTAAGACTTCCATGTGTATTTGGCATACTGATTCACGTTCTCACCTCAAGAGTGAATCCATTCTGACGTGAAATAACGTACTTGCAAGCTATATGCTTGCCTGTTGTGTGTTAGGTGTTGCCACAGGCTGAACAAACAGATCTATGTGAACTACACGACTTGTCTGCTCAGCCGGAGCAGACACCAGCAGCTGGCTAATGTCGCCTAACGGACACTTCCATGACCATGTGTATCCAGAGCCTCAGTGTCTAATTAGACAAGTGTATTCTCACCTGCTCTAGTCTCTGTAAGCTGGGGAGAGACCAGGGTAAGGTCATGTCTTCCTCCCCTGATCTGTCAACCAGTACTTGGTCAGTTATCGATGGTCACCGTAGACAAGAGGAATTGGTTATTTGTTTAATTGTCCCAGGAGGCAGGTAGGATGTGGTCTTCCCTCCTGACCTCTCCCAGAACGACCCAGTGGTAGTCATTCATTTCTGTGCAATGCTGCAGCACTCCTGTACAACACTGTGGCACTACCGGTCTGCTGTATAACACTGTGGCACTCCCAGCCTGCTGTACGATGCTGTGGCACTCCCAGCCTGCTGTACAACACTGTGGCACTCCCAGCCTGCTGTATAACACTGTGGCACTCCCAGCCTGCTGTACGACGCTGTGGCACTCCCAGCCTGCTGTACGGCGCTGTGGCACTCCCAGCCTGCTGTACGACGCTGTGGCACTCCCAGCCTGCTGTACGACGCTGTGGCACTCCCAGCCTGCTGTAGGACACTGTGGCACTCCCAGCCTGCTGTAGGACACTGTGGCTCTCCCAGCCTGCTGTACGACACTGGCACTCCCAGCCACCTGTACAATACCATGATACACAATCAGCCCCTTGTAACACTGTGACACTCACAGTATGGTTGCTTCCCTCTTGTCTAAAAATCTTACTGGCCTACCACAGCTGACCCTGACCTCCCTGTCTGGCAGATTCACACTTTGCTGACCATTTTGATACAGCCCTGGAGAACCAAGTTGACAAGGTGACACCTGTGTCCATTAACAGCAAGTCACTAAAAATTGTCATTTTGTCCAACCCCTCCCCAAACTTTATCACATGCTTTTACTTTTCTTTGAATATTTTTTGGGAATTCCTGACTTCAAAAGATGACAAAGGACCAAGCTTTGGCTGTGAGCCATTTAGCTGATACATGGCCATCACAGCCATAGTGTCGTGTGTGCGTGCGTGTTCCTGTGGGTGCACCTCAACATATCCTCTGGCTGGCATGACACACAGGTGCTCATCACAGGCCCACATGTCCTCATCTGCATGCTGCTCTGTGAACTCAGCCTGGGTGAGAATTAGAGCAGTGATGCAACTGGGTGCAGGCCAAGTTAGGGTAATCCTGCACATAGATTACCCATGATTACTGACTGCCCTCTAGTTACCTCTAATGGAGGCATACCATAGTGCCAGCAGTTTACTGGGTGACTCCAGCTTTGTTGATGCACCCACCATAAGCCTGTCTACACATGGTGGAAGTGCTTCATGAGGATCCGGACATGGCCTTAGTAATGATTGCAGTGTATGAAGCAGGTAGGGTGAGGGCGATACATGAGCCTCAGAATGCCAGCTGAGTGTATGTGCAACAGGTTACACCTTGCAGCTCAGAGATGTTGAATTGTTTGATGTCGGCTAACCCCACCTGTCCTCCACAGATTCTACTGTAGCCCGGGAAGTAGACATTTATGCTCAAATGTCAACATGGAAGGTAATTGGTTTGTTGTAGATTAGAGGATGGCAATCACCCAGACGGGTCCTTCAATAAACATGGCAGATCACTGTCTCATGTATCCGGCGACGGACCCCACGGTTGTTGAGGATCTGATTCAAGGATGGGTTTTTTTTATTAATTTTTCCCTGAAGAATATTTTATGGAGCTGATGTGTACAGATGAAAGTCAGATCAATGCTGGTGTCTGTATATTTCCACTGAGATGGCTCTTATACAAATGGTGGTCACATGTTGCCAGCCTTAGCCCATCATTAAGGAAGTCTTCAGGTTTTAATAGGATTTCGACATGTCATTTTCGGCTTGTTTGCCTCTTAATGGACTGGCTGCATTGTAGGGAGTTCTTCCTTCCATCTGACGGAATGCAAACAGAAAAGAAAGGTGAACTGTTGCGTTTATCCCTGAAGATTAGAAAGCACTATGTAGCAAGAGCAATTTCATGGTGAGTGTGATGTGGAGATGATGGTTCAGACAGTGTTCGTTACCAGGCTGCCATCGACTCCACTCATGCCATTGCTCTGTCTACCTATTTTAGTTTATTGAGATTTGGTGGGCTCCGTCCTCAGCACTGTTATGTGAAAACAGTTGTGTTTTAGAGCATACATGCTAATAGACCAACTGTTTCTGCTTATTGACTCTTGCAGCTGTAGTTAAAGGCCTGCAGATGGGTAAAATTGGCTGCTATTTTAGAACACTATCCAGCTGTTGGATTAAAAAAATAAAAAAATAGCAACTTGCACATTAACATGACTCATGATAATGATTTCTTGAAATTAATCATTTTATAGCTTAGGATTTCCAATTACCACTAGTTAATGTATAATGTTGCACAGGTGTGAAGAATGAATGTTGATGAGATTGGGCAATGCTTTTTACCCCATACACAACCATGTCAAGTCAGTTTCCTTTAGGACAGCTGATCGTGAAGATGTTACTTGTTATTTGTCTGTCATGTAATTGGATTAAATACACACCATGGAATGTAATTATTTTGATTTTGGCCTTGTGACAAAAGGTGGAAAAGACATTAACTCTGTGAACCTGCTTGGGATGTTTCAAGGGAGATAACTCTATGTTTGTATTGCAGGACACCCGGGCATGGGCCCAATGCAGAGGATGAGTCACCCAGGGGGCAGGATGCCCGGTCCAATGAACCCAGTAAGTTACATCTTCATGTTACAAGAAGGGGCGGTCGGGTAGCCAAATGGTTAAAGTGTTCGCTTGTCACGCCGATGACACGGGTTCGACTCCTGACATCGGTACAATGTGTGAAGCCCATTTCTGGTGTCCCCCACCATGATATTGCTGGAATATTGCTGAAAGTGGCGTAAAACCATATTCACTCGATCGATCACTCACCCACCCACCCACCCACCCACCCACCCACCCACCCACCCACTCACTCACTCACTCACTCACTCACTCACTCACTCACTCACTCACTCACTCACTCACTCACTCACTCACTCACTCACTCGCGTTATAAGAGAGTGTGGTCTTAGTGGAAAAAGTGTCTGATCAATCATCTATCAAGTCAGCGAGCCTGACCACCCGATCCGGTTAGTCGCCTCTTGCGACAAGCATAGTCTCTTTTTACGGCAAGCATGGGTTGCTGAAGAATTTTTCTATGCCGGACCCTCAATTGTTGATGGCGGATATGGTTAAGGAAAGGAGCAGCACATGTCCCCAGTGTCTGTCCACTAACTAAAACTGGTATTTGATGGGTACAGTGAGATGGATATGTATGACAAGGCACAGATCTTACATTGAATGTTTTTTTAGTAATGGTGAATGAATAGTAAAGTTTGGTAACAGAAATGTGTTTTTTGTTGCAGGTTTACGACTCATTACCAAGTTATGGTGGCATGAGGGGTCCACCGCCTAACTCAAGTATGGGGCCAGGAGGCCCTGCAGGAATGCCACCAATGTCGATGTGAGTAGTTGTGCCCTTCTCACAGTTCTTACCTTCTCCATAGGGGCCAGTGGCCTTCAGCACTGTAGCTTCTTCAGCAGAGTGCATCCATTTGGCCGGCACAGGATTTGCAGATCAAGGGTTTGAAATACTAGATTCTGCCCAATTTTGATCTTGGCTCTGTTGGTCAATAAGGTGACATGTCCATGACCTGCATCAGTCTAAGCTGTCCAGCCACATTAAGCGGAAGTAGCCTTATGTAATTGAAATTCAGTAATGTGGCGCAAATGGTGGTGTAAGTTATAGCTTCCTTAGGGCTTCTCTCAAGAAAACCTGGCAGGTCATTATACTTTGAATAATGTTAGGTGTGGTACAAATCCCAATTCACTCACTTAAAAACCTGGACTAATTTGAGACATTAAGAAAAGTAAATTATGACGTTTTTATTCAGTGTTCCAGTAGCGGGCATGAGATGATTCCATGGCTAATGTATGAACATGTTGTTTCAGGCCAGGGGGTCCCGATTCCATGGCTAATGTACGAACATGTTGTTTCAGGCCAGGGGATCCCGATTCCATGGCTAATGTACGAACATGTTGTTTCAGGCCAGGGGGTCCCGATTCCATAGCTAATGTACGAACATGTTGTTTCAGGCCAGGGGGTCCCGATTCCATGGCTAATGTATGAACATGTTGTTTCAGGCCAGGGTATCCCGACATGGCTAATGTACGAACATGTTGTTTCAGGCCAGGTGGTCCCGATTCCATGGCTAATGTACGAACATGTTGTTTCAGGCCAGGGGGTCCCGATTCCATGGCTAATGTACGAACATGTTGTTTCAGGCCAGGGGGTCCCGGTGGACCAGGGGGACAGGGGAACAGACCGTGGCCACCTACATCATCATCAGTAAGTACAACCTCATCGTGGGTGACGACACAACCTCACACCTGACAGATGTTCTGAAACTAGGCTCAGTACCTCTTGTTTTTCTAACAGTGAAATGTCTTTTCATGTCCCTGTGAACAAATTAATTTTTTACTTGTGGTATCATCTGTCTATATACAGTCATACCTCATTTGTGTCAAACTTGGATGTTTTGAATTCTGATTGTCTCAAACTCGCCTTTCGGTCCCTGCGAAATACTTCCAATGTATATATGAATATATCATCATTTATTCTTGGAGCTGTTGAACTGGATTTGTTGAATTCTCGGTTGTCTCAAACTCATTTCAGAGTCTCAAGTATCCAAATTAAGCATAAAATTCCCATGATGATGACTCTAACCGTTAATAATAGAAAATAACAGCCCACACCCACACTCTCCAAACTTTCAACTCGTTTCTCACACAATCAACTGACCTCACTGTGATTAATGCAATTACGTCAAAGGCAGGGAGCTTTCTGACAACATGCCGACATCCAATCAAGCCTAATAAGCAAGCATACCTTACATCAATGGTCCAAGCTGATTTCGGTGTACACAATGGCAGCAAGTTACTGGAGTGTTCTCACGTGACTGCCGATGACACGTAAAAACTGAGAAATGAGTAAAACAGAGTAGGTTATGTTAGTGAATCTTTTATTCAAGATGCGACTTACAATGACATCAATCCAGATGGGGACAGTGAGAATTTATGATATGCCTGAGTTGCCACCCCTTTACCACCAGTAGCCTGAGCACTGAACTTTACGTGCCCTGAAATCTATTGTTGTGTCCTGACCTGGTAATAAGCTCTCATAACATATGTTTGGTTTTAAAAAACTCACTTTGTTGGTTGTCTCGAACCCCGGATAACTCAGACTTTTTTCCAGGTCCCCATGAGTTTGACACAACGAAGTTCAACTGTATACAAAACAAGTTAAAAACACCCGCAGTTGGAGGCTGTGTGTTGCAGTATACACCAGCCCTAACACATTAGCTATAGTCACATAAAAAATATATCGGTTGTCCTTAACTTCGTTTGAGTATGTTTTCTCATATGGGATTCCAGGGCAGGACATGTCTCAGTGACAAACTGCTTGACATAAATGTCACCGGTAAAGGATTGGATGGCCACAATGTCTGAGAAGGCCAACTCTTGTGCGTCATCTTGCCCTAGTTACTCATGCTATCATCCACTTGTTTGTGGTCCACACCATGTGGTGTGGTAGCACTGTGGTTGAAATAATTGCTCCTTGCACTGACTCAGGTTTGATTCCCTACATGGGTACAGTGTGTAAAGTCCATATCTGGAGCCACCCCCTGTGAAATAGCTGCAAAAGCTGAATGTAGCTATGACAACATATGCCCCAGTGTGTTTACCTAATGTGCCTGATAATGATACAATGTTACTGTTTTCAGTTAAACTACTCGTCAGCATCTCCAGGAAGTTATAATGTAAGTATAGATTCCAGAAAGTGTCAACTCAAATTAAATTGTATTGATCCATAAACAACAAAATTGGAAAGTGAAGCCATCTTGACTGTTGCCACAGCAGTGTGTAGAGAGGATTTTCTTGTACTGTGTGCCTACATCAGTGTTTTCATGAGTGTATTTACAACCTGCCTCCCCATCCTCCCTCTACAGCAGCAACATCGTCTACCGTCGCATCCTGTACTAACTCTAGTCTGTTTGACAGAGGATTTGATTATGAATTTGTGAATTGCTTTTGAGATAAGATAATGGAAGTAGGCATTCATGAACCTAGTCATCTGTTAAACGTTTCACAATGATTGATTTTATGGAGTCCTAAATACCAATTTGACCAAGACCATGCCCGAAAGAATATATCTCACAAAGATTTTGACATCATTTGAGCATTCCAGAGGATGTTAAACAGGTTATTTCAGGAATAGAGTTAACTAAAAATACCCTAAGATGTAATTCCATTAGTCATTGCAATACTTTTAAGACCAGTTATTTGTGCTGAAATGTTTTCTAGGAGCATGTTTTTAAGAGCTTACCTTTTTCTACCTGCATTCCAGGGTTATGTCATCATACACCTATTGGGTTACCCTACTATCAATCTTCCATGGAGAGAACATGTCCCAGTTTTTGTGGGACTTCTTGGCATTAATTTCCTGCTCCAAGCTCAATCCTACACATCATTTTTTGTAAACAAAAGATATGTTTGTTTAACATTCGGAGAAAGGAGATGACAAATGTTTTTGTGAAGAATTTGACTTGAAATGAGATGTGGAAGATAAGATGTGTTCTCAAGCAAAGATTCAGTGGCGGTAGGAAGATAGCTCACGGGCCTCTGCCCCTGTCATCACTGATACATCACATGCGTTGAAACTTCAAACGACTTGAAAAGATTTCCTCCATGGATGTATTGCTTGAATAGTATTTTGTTAATAGTCATATTGTAAGTTAGATTACTGGTTTTTAAATGGGACTTTAACTCAAGAACTGGTAACAAGCAGGATGAAAGTTGCATCTGTGATATTTAAGCGCCAGGTTTATGGCAGATTATTAGTGAGTTATAAGTGGGTAAGCTGTAACATGATGTGACAGTGTCAGGCATTAAAAATGGGTAAACTGACATGGTGTGACAGTGTAGGACATTAAAAGTGGGTAAACTGACTTGGTGTGAAAGTGTAGGACATTAAAAATGGGTAAGCTCTAAGATGGTGGAACAGTGTCCGACATTAATAGTGGTAAACTGTAACATGGTTGGACTGTGTCTTACATTAATAGTGGGTCTTACATTAATAGTGGGTAAACTGTAACATGGTGGAACAGTGTCTGACATTATTAGTGGTAAACTGTAACATGGTGGGACAGTGTCTGACATTAAAAGTGGGTAAACTGTAACATGGTGGGACAGTGTCTGACATTAAAAGTGGGTAAACTGTAACATGGTGGGACAGTGTCCGACATTAATAGTGGGTAAACTGTAACATGGTGGGACTGTGTCTTACATTAATAGTGGGTAAACTGTAACATGGTGGGACAGTGTCTGACATTAATAGTGGGTAAACTGTAACATGGTGGGACTGTGTCCGACATTAATAGTGGGTAAACTGTAACATGGTGGGACTGTGTCCGACATTAATAGTGGGTAAACTGTAACATGGTGGGACTGTGTCCGACATTAATAGTGGGTAAACTGTAACATGGTGGGACTGTGTCCGACATTAATAGTGGGTAAACTGTAACATGGTGGGACAGTGTCTGACGTTAATAGTGGGTAAACTGTAACATGGTGGGACTGTGTCCGACATTAATAGTGGGTAAACTGTAACATGGTGGAACAGTGTCTGACATAAATAGTGGTAAACTGTAAAGTGGAATAACAGTTCAGACCACAAACACCCAACATTAATGTGAGACTATGACAGGTTGTCAGCAGGTGATCTTGCTCTGCCAGATGTTCCTGGTATTCTGTGTGTCTGTATGTGTGTTTGTGTTTCCAGGGTCCCCCAGTAACAGGTCCCCCAGGTACACCCATCATGCCCAGTCCACAAGGTGAGTAGCAACTCTCTCTCTCAGTAGTCAGTAGCCACTCTCTCTCTCACACAGCAGTCAGTAGCAACTCTCTCTCACACAGCAGTCAGTAGCAACTCTCTCTCACACAGCAGTCAGTAGCAACTCTCTCTCTCACAGCAGTCAGTAGCAACTCTCTCTCACACAGCAGTCAGTAGCAACTCTCTCTCACACAGCAGTCAGTAGCAACTCTCTCTCACACAGCAGTCAGTAGCAACTCTCTCTCACACAGCAGTCAGTAGCAACTCTCTCTCACACAGCAGTCAGTAGCAACTCTCTCTCACACAGCAGTCAGTAGCAACTCTCTCTCACACAGCAGTTAGTAGCAACTCTCTCTCACACAGCAGTCAGTAGCAACTCTCTCTCTCAGCAGTCAGTAGCAACTCTCTCTCTCAGTAGTCAGTAGCAACTCTCTCTCTCTCTCTCAGTAGTCAGTAGCAACTCTCTCTCACACAGCAGTCAGTAGCAACTCTCTCTCACACAGCAGTCAGTAGCAACTCTCTCTCACACAGCAGTCAGTAGCAACTCTCTCTCACACAGCAGTCAGTAGCAACTCTCTCTCACACAGCAGTCAGTAGCAACTCTCTCTCTCAGCAGTCAGTAGCAACTCTCTCTCACACAGCAGTCAGTAGCAACTCTCTCTCTCTCAGCAGTCAGTAGCAACTCTCTCTCACACAGCAGTCAGTAGCAACTCTCTCTCTCAGCAGTCAGTAGCAACTCTCTCTCCGCAGTCAGTAGCAACTCTCTCTCTCTCTCAGCAGTCACACTTGCACCTATATCCAGTCAGTTGCAACTCTGTTAAACCTATTTCCAGCCTACTGCCCTCAACCTTGACATCTTTTTCAGTAGATCTTACTGTTACGTATGGACTTTTAGTACCTAGGCTCACAAAACCAAAAGACCTTTTCGCGGTCTTCGGACGAGTGGCTGAAGTCACAGGCTATTTTTCTGATTTCCAATCTCAGATATTTGTTTCCTTGCTTCACTTTGACAACTTTGACACAGCTATATCTGTCCTTTTGGGAAATTAACATTTGGAAGTTTAAAGAAATAATTTCCCTAAGATTTAGTCAATTTATTTATTTTGCTGATTAGTCAGAAACAAGTCCTACATATCTCGAGTAGCTACATCATTAAGATGAGACAGTTACATTTGTATATATTCTTATTTACAAAAAAAGTTAAAGAACACCCAGTTTTTTTCATCATATGACTATAGATAATCTACCATGGCTGGTGGGTATTGCAACAGCTTTCAAATTGTGGATGTTATATAACTTGTTTTGAGTAGTATATTATATCCTGAACCCAAAACGTTAGGGATCATGAATATTTTTGGAGAAACTTTTATGAAATTGTTTGCTCAGTCTTCACTAAAAATATATAATCCCCCAAATATTCATGATTCCTAATTTTTGGGTTCAGTGATTTTGTAGACATGTTGTGTTTGTCGTTTTGAATGTGTATGAAGAACAGATTATATGTGAGGCATTGCATGCTGATTGCAATGTCTTATATAAAGACCTCCCACATATGCTTTCAGCGCCAGAAGCAGGTAACTCAGACGGAATGTACAGTATGATGAAACCAGGTGGTCCGGGCGGCATGCCGGGGATGCCAGGGGTGAGTAGCGCGACCGGGATCCCGGAGGGGATACACACTTTACTACCAAGCTATATATAGGCTATAAATCCTACATAGAGGTATATGATGGTATAACATTTCGAGTACTGCTGGATGTTACATTAGATGGGTGTTTGAGAATATAGTTTTGTTAGTGGTCACGTTCAGTCTGGTTAAGGGGAGATAATTCACACCTTTCTAAACAAGATCTGTTCCTAACTACACCTTTGAATGAGGTGACTGGTGAATACGCGATAAGAGGATTCTTTATGTCTTACTTGACAAGATGAAGATATGATACAAAAATACAGATAAACAGGTCTGTCTTTCTAGAAACAATTTGTGGCCATGTTAGCTTTTGGGTGGTGGGGTAGCCTAGTGGTTAAAAGTATATGCTTGTCACACCGCAGGCCCGGGTTTAATTCCCCACAGGGGTCGATGTGTTATACTCATTTTTTGTGTCCCCCGCTCACTCACTTTATGTTTTACTCCTGTGTTGTATTCGTGTTTCAGTTTCCAATGGGACCTGATGGGTCTATGGGACCGATGGGACCAGGGGAAATGCCTCCAGTAATGAATGGTAAGTCACCAGATCCTAGGGCCTAACAGGGACAGTACATTATTATGATCTCGCCTAAATATTGTTGCCATTTCTTTGTCTAACCCCTTTGTCCCCCTATGTTAGCAGTGTGGTGTGACAGCACCAGGTTACGTCAGGTAAGGCGCTAGTAGTCGCATGTTTCTGCAGATGGAAATACATGATTTCTTGCCAGGCTATTCAGTCTGGGATCTGTGGCTTCACTCCTGCTTCTGTTTTTCAGCAGTTTATTTTGGCTTTAGTACAAATAATAATAGAAATAACACCTTGGAAACTTGCATACTTTGTTCCAGATGCAACCTGCATTCACCAGTTTTCAATTTCATGTCCTCAGAATCATGTTTCTTCTCTTTTTTTCAGCCTCCGCTTTATGTGATTCAGTATGATGTATAATGATGTGACTGTGAACTGCCTCCATCTGAATGGTCACATTGCATGTTATTTTGTAGGTATGTCTGTTCCAGGGGATATGGATGGTATGAAGAACTCACCTGCCAACGGCCCAGGAACACCAAGAGATGATATGCCACCTGTTAGCGCAGCAGACATTGGGGGATATGGTCTGGCTGGGTACCAAGACAATGTAAGTCAGCTGTCATTGTGAGCACGTGTATATGTATGTCCTGGCTCGCTCGCTCCTTCGCTCCCCTATTCTGAGAGCTGGCACCGGGGTCCGTCCGTCCGTTCGTCCATCCGCCTTGCTGCCTGTATGCCAACCTGAGCTGGCCAGAGTTACTCCCTCGCTTCTGGCTAGAGCAGCTACTTTTCTCACTCTCTCTCTCAGACACGGTGTTGGGGCATTGCATGTTTCTTCTGATCGCCTGGTGCTTTCTTTAAAAACTTTCTTTTTTGTTTCTTTTCATTTCTAATTAGAGCATCTGCCTGTTGATTGATTGATCTGTTCATACTCAGTATTGCTCCCCTCTCAAACAATCTTGATGATGGAATTTGGTAACAAGACTGTCTCAGTGGTAAGCCAACAGTCGCTCCCTTGCCACCTGCCTGCCAACAGACCAGCTGACTGGCTGCCTCCAGATGGCGCTGACTGTCACTACTTGCTCTGTCTGACCTGCTCATTGGCCGGTGATCAGTATGAGTGACCAGGCCTATCATCGCATGTGACTCATCGCTGCCCACTCGGGGAGCTGCCTCATCGTAAGCCCTATCATACATCATTAACAATCATTACAGCATGTGCCCTAGTACGTCGCCTATCTCAATGTTTTGATGTTTACGATTTTTCAGGAGCAAAACGAATCTGCCGCTATCCTAAAGATTAAAGAATCTATGCAGGAGGAGGCAAAACGCTTTGAAAAAGACGCCGACCAACCAGAATATTTCATGCAATAAAACCTAAATTATTCTATTATTTATATGTTAGTACATTGGACGCGATTGAAGTCTTCTACAGGTGGTAGTGCCAGTGATAGAATGGCCTGGATGTTCACTATGACTGCAGGATTAGGGAACTTGACGACCTTGACCTTCTTTATTTGCGTACATTAGCCCTGGCTCCCGGCTTTCTCTGCTCTCTAGACACGCATGTTCATAATCTCTAGGAAAAGCTCCAGCAGCCGACTCCAGCCTCCGAAGAGTTCAGTTTCATTTCTGTTGTAGACTAGTCAACTAGTTTCTTCAGTTGTCCCTAATCTGCAAGACTACTCAAGTTTTCTTGACATTGTGTTGCTTGTAGACGTGGTCTGCTCTGCCATGTCTCCCTCATCCAGGTCATATTGAACAGCCAGGCTTGAACATTGAGACATCAGGATTGTTTGATGATGAAGAAATAGTCTTCAAGCCAATACAGCTGGCCAGTAGTAGTAAAGTAGCTCATCTTTGCTTCCACTTAACATTAACAGTACTGTACTGTGTCCTGCCCTCAATTGCATGTCTTGTCTCCGTCAAACTGACCTGTTATTAAATGAGGGTCCTCACCTGTCTCAGGCAACCATACGACCGTCCGTCCGTCCGTCCGACCCGGCAGCCGAGCTGCAGCCACGCTGTTGACAATACTGAATTTCCAACTCTGTAGACTTGCTGCCTTAGCATTGCAACCCTTGTGCCACTGTGCCCCACTAAACTACTAAACCAGGGAGGGGGCGGGGCGGGGCATCATCATTGAGTCATGTGCGACACACATTTATGTATTTCTATGTTCTATATGTACACATATATTCATATATTATTGGAGTTGTCTTCCCATGTTGCTAGCATTGTCTTCTGATAAATTGCCAAAATACCGAGCGTTTTTGTACATAGCAAGATCATCCTGTTATTATGCAAAAGTCACAAGGGCTAGAGTGAGCAGCAACCTCAGTATGCAGATCACAAGATGCTGCTGTGCGGGAGATGTTATCTGCGGTTAATGTAGTGTTTGACAAGAAGTCATGGTTGAAGCAGTATCATTGGGGCTACAGAGGCACAAGGATTGCGTGTAGCATAACTATATACACCATAACTTAGCTCTGTTTAATCCCTTCTACTTTGTCACTGGTGTCCTTCCGAAACGCTTACAGCCTATCTCTCTGCCCCGAGTGCTATGTAATCTCCTTAATGATGATTGTGATGAATCTCTTTGGTTGCAATCTCAAAACCATTATTTTTGGGACCAATTGGTGAGGAAACTCTACTGTCTTCATCAGCCGTGCAAGCCAAGTGTGGGCCCTCCAACATATATTCGCCAGATCTGTAGATGTTGACAGTCGAGATAACATGTAGCATTTGGCTTCAAGATTATTTCCGAGTTCAGTGCTCCACAAGCTTGTTTTTTCTCTGGTGCACATGTACTCCACCGTGGAAGCAGGGGTGAATGAGTGATCGAGCGAGGAGTGCAGAATATCTGACTTGTTATATATTTATATCTGCGAGCTGATCCCGGCCGACATCTGTCACTCGGTGAGCTGACAACCCTCTCTGTCTGTCTGCCACCAACTTACAGATGTCCGATAGGTTTCAGCTGGCATCTTGTTATACTCTGACTGCACATGGTCGTTTCTGATGTAGTCGGATAATGTGGCTTTTTGTATATTTTGATACTGGGCTGCCCCGTGTTCCAGCTTCTTCCCGGGGCACTTTCTGTCCCTCTGTTTCTAATGTTGATGTGAGTGTTTTTATTTATGTGTTTGTGCGATCGATATCCTCATGCAAATCCATAATCCGCCTCTAGGAAGTAGGTATCACAGCGTGGACGCAGCCCATGAGTAATGTATGTGAATCTGTGGAGGGAGCTCTGCAGGGTTATATTGTTTTGTTTGTAGTCCTTGCCCACAAGTACTCATAGCAGCATTTTATAAATCTCTAGTTCTGTATTGTTTTCCTCCAGCTGTGTAGCTGTCTTGGGCAGTACGCCATAAGCAGAATTTGAGTTTTTCACTCTATGTTTGGCGAGCATGAGACAGCTGTAGTGTTTGTGTGCTCCGCCTGCGACAACGCTAGTCACCTAGTACCTTATCAGTTTCTATACTGCCAGTGCTCACACTAATATTGTCGTAGGAACATATATTTTTTCACAAATTTGTCAAAAAAACCTGCTCTTGATCAAAATGATAAAAATACTGAAACATGTCCATATTTTGATATAGACTGTCATGTACATAACTTTATCTTGACCATATCATAAAAGATATTTGGTAGACTTAACACTGTACTCCATCAATCTTCGAAAACGTTTTATTCTGACATCTTCCGTAAATAACGAGTTTCATTGCAATGGAAGTATGTTAGTACGGTGTGGCAGTAGCAGTGTTTGGATTGTTTCCTTTCTTTTAGTTCTCATTATTAACATGTAGTAAACTTGTTGTAGTTTGTTTGACGCAAACTTTTTAATCACTTAATGTTCGCTCCACATCTAAGAAAATCTCTTGAAACGAATACGAGCCGTCTGTCATTTAATGTTTTCAGGAAATTTCTTTGCAACGTTGTAGTGGAACTTTTAACACTTTTGCTTTAAGTTTTGTTTGTAACGTGTATTTGGCTTCTAATGGAGCGTTTAGTGCAAATGTTTTAAATGAGCGCAAATACCTCTTCTCTTTACTTGTAATGGACAAATTGCACTTTCGGTTGTTTTTCAGGACAGCCTCGCGTGCTTTTAGCAAGCCGAATGAAAGCTGGTAAGGGTGGAGATAGGGACAAACATTCAGAAAGGGGAAAGGAAAGATAATTTAAGAGGCAATCCAACCTTGTGACAATGTGTATCCGTAGTCACTTCTCCATAGTCGGTTGCTAGGTGACCAAGATGAGTGTCACTGAGACCTGCTTCTCGATTCAAACTGGGATTCCGATTGGTTAGAAGACATGATGATACAGAACAGTCGGAAGATGGTGATAGCTGTCGCCTTCCCAGCATTCCCCAGGAAGGAGAGCAGAGTTACTCCCCTTGGTGGACTGGGATATACCCAGAGAATAACTGTCTTGTCAATTTCTTATATCAAATATGCATATGATAAGTTAAATTTGTGATAGAATTTGTGGGGACTTTCTTTTGGCATTTAATTGGGGAGTGATTTGAAATTGTAAACTTTGTGTGAAGATCTGATTCTGCTACTGTCGTGGGTGGGGGTTCCACAATGTGAGGGAATGGGATCTCATTCACAAACCACTTGTTTTGCTGGGGGCAAAACCACATCAAGACAATTCATTGTTAATTCTACTTCCCCACTGAAATCTACTACCCCACAGCTAGGCGACCAGTCCTGCATATATATATTGATGTAGATGGTTCCTTGTGAATGGGGTGGGCATAAGGTGGTCTGATGGTAGGGGTGGGGTGGGTCGGGTGGTGGGGAGGTCATTACTGCCCGGCGATGTCGACGCCAGTGCCGTCGTATCCATCGTGTACATTGAAGAATGATCTGATCGTGTAAAGTTACCTGTAATTATATTTATTTATCTTCATGTTGGTGGAGTACAGTTGTTAAATAACTTGCAAGCATTTTGCCATGTATATGGTAAAAACCAAATTTGAATGCCTCTTTTTTGCAATACTGTACGATATGTGATGTGACAGTTTGTTACGTTCACGTAGTTGTAGCCTGTTGATTGCTCACAATATGCCGCCGCCATACATCGTAATGGGAGTATGCGTAACTTGTACGTACGTACGCATGCTCTCGCCGGCTGGTGTATTGAGACAGTAGATGTGGTACAAATGGATAGCCCTAGTTATTGTAAACACCTCCTCGTCATTGCGCTGTCAGGCATCACCAGGGCTCAGAGGCTGGTCCAGTCCCCCCCCCTCCATATGGCCCTGAGATTCCATATCATATCAATGTGCCCGAAGAGAACCGTAACATGTATTTTATGACATCATCCTCATGAATCACCCACTCACTACAATGACCTACCTACCTTTGTAAATATTTCATCTCAACCTGATGTTTGATAATGTGGCTCAAAGGCACTCTCAATTCCAACATGGCATATCATATGTGTTCAAGTCAGTATTGAATACTTATTCCATAACCCAACCATCTAGAATACTTCGGACCATAATCTTCTTCACATATTTTGGCATATATTACCTATGCTGTTGTTGTCCATATCATTAAGTGCTTACTACATTTCAAATTCATAGACATCGCATGATATTGAAGAGAATAAATATGTATTTTTCATACTCATTCAATATACGTAGTATGGATTACCAATTGGCCAAATAGCTCACTTCGATATTAATTCGTAGCATAGCTCACCTGAACTTACAGTTGTAGAGTTTTTTCGGAATCGTCAGATGATCATCTTGATTGAGACTAGTGCTAGGTAACAGGGATAGTGTGGCAGGGCCCAGGGAGATGTCCTCGCTCATGATCAGTCATTGTATACATTGTTACTCATGTTTTCATGCAAACAAACATCTGGTTGTATAGTTGTTCCCATTATAAGGCGAGGCCATCTTTCTGGTCGTGTCACTGGAAAGGAGGGAAGTTACTCTCAAGGAAATTAGTCCTCGTATTGTTCTGAAGTGCAGACTCCTGTTAAAATTGACATTTACAAACATCGAAGTAAGAATTGTAAGTATTCAAGCTTCAGATCTGCATTTGAGAACACTGTGAGAAGTAGGACCTATGTTGTGTTTCAGAACACTATGAGAAGTAGGACCTATGTTGTCTTTGCTCAGTTTGCCTTGCTTGCCAACAATATCAGGATATTTATAGATACAAGAAAGACTTTTCAAATCCCAGAAAGACTGACCAGCCTTTGAGATCTTTCGTGGATATCTTTGACTTGCTGATGTTCATCTACCTCACACTATCACTAGAAGGTCTGGTTAGTGCTCTTGCCACAAAAAAACCTTGTAAAGAAACACACTCAATGATGCAACCGACAAGGTGTGAGTGGTGGGAGTTGTCTGCCCTTGTCACTCAATCATCTCATCTCCATTTGTAAATTAACCAAAGGCAAGTCGTGTCTAGAGGTGTGGCTCAACCCAATTGTCTTACAGCGTAATGGCTGATGGGGTGTATCGCCTTGCTTTGTATAATAGCAGCGTTATTAAATGCGACAGGTTTATTTCCCAGCGTAATGTTGTACAGCCGTGTGGATCTAAAGACAGTTGTTAAAAGTCGGCTATGTATCATATGCTGCTCCATATTTTATTTGGTTGGGAGGGTGGTTACAACCAGCTGTACAGCAGGCGTTAAAGCGGCCCAACAGTGTAACAATCAAAATTTATGGCAATATTGTAATATATCTCAGTCATTTTATATTCTATTCATTTCATGTGTGGAGATGGTCTCCTCATCTTCTAAGTTATTGTGTCCTTCTCCGTTGTGTAGCGACCTAGATTTGTCATCTTTAGTTTGAGACATTTCCAATGTGTGTCTTGTGCAGCATCTTGTAGACTCACTCATCAGAGGGCTCTAATAAAATATGTCAAACTGTTGGATCCCCCACGAATCCATGTGTCTGTTCTCTTGTCCTTCTATGATAACTAGAACCCATCAGGACTCTGGAGATTTCCCACCGTTGTCATAAGATGACTGAAAGGGGGATCACACGGCCACAAAGGCTGCTGAGTATGGACCATACTTTAGTCGGTGACCTTGGAAGACCAAACCAAGTCCATTGTGACCTTGACCTACTCTTGTATGGCCATGTGAAAGTAGAGGAGGATGGTCTAGTGCCAAAATGACTGGAACAGTGTCTAGACCAAGTTTCTGGTTGGCATAGGTCACTGCCTACTCTGTCAACCACTGGCTTGCTTGCCTGATGTAGCTGCAGTTTTGCTGGACATGGTGTAAAACCAGTTGATTCACTCACTTCTCGCCAAAATGCCCCATTTACTGTAGTGTTAGGTAGCAGGAACCCCAGTTGGTTTTCTTGTCATTGTACACATGCTGTAACCATCACCATGGAAACCTTGTTAATATTGTTAGTCCATTTCTCAAAATTGGTAGAAAGGTACAATTGGCGTACATAGTAAGGCAAGCTATTTTGTTTATTTGCCCAAATCAAAAGACAACATTTTGACAAATCCTTTGAAGGTTGAATCTGTTTCTGAAACTTAATCCATACTTCTTGACATTCATTCCAAGGAGCTTGGGGTGTAAGCTTCTGATGAATTGAAGATACATTAATCTAAAGTCTAATTATTGTTTAAAAAGAGTAGCTATTACCCTTGAAGGTCGTGGTATGTCGAAAGTACTGTAATACCCTACTACAAGGTTCAGGACTGCTAGATGAACAAGGTTGCACTGTGATATACTACCCATTGACAGATACCTACATTCACATTGTCACATGTTTACAATAAAAGTATGTGTTGAATAAATAACATTATTATATTGCTCTTCTTTCCAACATGTTGGGACATACAGATTGTTGTGAGATAGGCCATTACAAATTATTGGATGTCTTGTCTTCCTGACCCGTGAAGACCCGGGTTAGAATAGGTCTTCAGCAACCCATTATTGCTGTAAAAGGAACTATGCTTGCTATAAGAGGCGATTTACGGGATCGGGTGGTCAGGCTGGCTGACTTGGTTGATGCATATCATCGTATCCCAATTGCGTTGATAGATGCTCATGCTGTCAATCACTAGATTATCTGGTCCTTACTCGATTATTTACAGACTGCCGTCATATAGCTGGAATATTGCTAAGTGTGGCGTTAAACAACAAACAAACAAACAATCTTGTCTTCCTGTAAGACTAGCTTTACGGGAGGCCATTGTTCGTCATTTGAACTTGTCTCCCAGATGACCTTGGCCCCACTCCACAAGGAGATCTTAGCGCTACGATTGTCGTAAGTGGTGTATGTTATAAGTATGGAAGTTACGACCATCTTAGTGCTGAAATAGTTTTGTTGAATCGGGGCCTGTCATTTGATGAACTTCATTGTTAAAATGCTGTAGTTGTTTTAGTGTTGCCCCTAGGATGTAGCTAGTGCTTCACCAAGGAAGTATGGATGAACTATAACTTAATGAAAGATTAATTTTCTGCCAACAGATTGATTCTAATGCAAGGCTGAACCGGAAAATACACCATTAATGTTATAGAACCTGGAACTGAGTCTCCAAAATTGTCGCCTCCAAGGATGAACCCTTAATCTCAAGGCTCTTCAAGGAGTGCTGCTGTAGCCCAGTGTTGGCTCGTCATGACCAAGACCAGGGTTGAATTCCCTTCATGACTACAGTACATGATGTCCATTCTTGGTGTCCACTGCTGTTTTATGGCTGGAATATTGCTATTAGAGGCATAAAGGCATACCGATTCTCTTCCTCTCTCGAGACATGCAGAGAAGACTGGTTTCCATGATCAGGTGGTGATTGAAGTTTCTGCAGTGTTCAACAACATATACATACAAAGTACTTCAGATGCATCTGACAATGCAATACATCCTTTCAAAGCAACCAGCCCTCTCCGATTTAAGGGATTTATAATTTTCTGTAGAACATGAATGAAATTGAGAATATGATCAGTAAGATCTTTGTCAAATTCCATGGTTAGTTTATCTTGAAAATGCTGAACAATGAATTATTGTGGAGGTAGCTCATTATTATTATTCTCAAAGATGTTTTCGGAGAAAATTGAATTCTTCAAGCATATCCTCACTCAGCATTAAGGGAATAAAACAAGGACTGGCTGGGCGTCGTATACTGTGTTTGAGTGGGGTGTCCATGTTAAACTGCAGCATGGTATCTCTAGGCTAGCGCTATAAAACTGTTATTAGTCCAGACCAGTACAAGCAGCCACACTCACACATGCTTGTCGCTGTATAAGTGCAATATTCTTGGAACGTGACCTTCAACTCCATTTCACCTCTCTTCACATACTCTAAGCAGGTTTAATCTCCTCTGAACCAACGTTCCATGTCACTGTTGTCTCTTTGTCAAAGGACAAGGCGTGATGAGGACCCTTTGGCCCACAGGATCTATAGATTTGAAGAAATTAGTAGAAATTGTTAAAGAAGTTGTTCAATATGTTCATATGAATGAGAGCTAGACATTGTTCATTTCATCACATGCATGTTTTGTACTAACAACACTAAATGTAAATTTTAATCTAAAATGTGTGGTTTAAGAGGTTTTCAGGAAGCTTTTTTTTTCAAAACGTGAGAAAATCTTTAGTCCATGGTTTTCTTCCATGTAGATAAAGACAATGAAAACGTGTGGTAATAAAATTTTGGGGCCATGGACTTGCTCATGCTCAGATTTTCTCCAGAAGGAACAAAAATCTGCCTTTTTCACACAGTTTTGTCATTCTTGTGTACTTGAACATGAAAATGTACAAGTTGAAACTGTAAGAAAAAAGAAGCTAGTTGTCAATCATTTGAACATGTGTGATGATTTTCACACTATCATGGGACAGTGGGTAGCCAACTGGTTCAATTGTTGGCTTGTCATCCCGAAGGGGTGGGTTCGATTCTACTCATTCATACCATCAATACCAAATTTTCTGTAACTTAACAATTTGACTGATGCAGTGGGCCAGACAGGAGGGCTCTTATCCAACAGCATCCTTTGCATGACTTTAACAAATCCATGGAAAGGATTACCAGTATGAAACTGACAGGTCACATGGATGATCCCAGAAATACAGGTCTCAATACTGGACTTTCAGAAATGGGCAATCTCTGCTCCCATACTGATTTATCACTTTGTGTTATACCAAAGCATTCATCAAGTATCTTTACAATCCATGCAGATGGTATAAGAAAAATAAATAAAATTTACATTTTTAGCTTAACCTGACCTGGTCGGTGTGATTTTATGTCTGACAATCAAACATTAACCCACTTGGGGTTTTTTCAACTGAAAACACAATATCACTATCCATATCATGAGCACACGATATATTATTGTTTGTGCCTAGGTACAAGTAGTTTTCATTTCAGTGACAACAATTCTCAGATACAATTTTCGATTTTTCTTAATTCAAGTTTTGTTCTTTTCAATACCAATTGGCCATCAGGTCAGTGAACAGAAATAGGTCAATGTCTAGTTTTTCCCCACATGCAACAGCACTTGAAAGCCTCCTAATATTTCATACAACCCTATACATACCACGCAAAAGAAGTTAAGGACCTCATGATTCTTTCATATTTTTATGGCATGATGGATTGACTTGTAATATGAAAGAATTGGGTGATCCTTAACTTCTTTTGAGATGTATGTCTTGGGATTATTATTAACATGATTGGATGACTTTGGAAGTCTCTGACAGTAGCATTTAACAACTTATTTCCACAATTAGTTGAGATTTCCTGAAAGGGTATTCCCTACCCTCCCACACAGGACCTCTGTATATGTTCACTTATGTAAATGTAAAATTATTATTTGTTGAAAAATTAAATTGTTTTTAACAGATTACTGTCTGCAATTTATGAAAGCATCAGCACTTGGATATTTCGCAGCTTCAATCATTGACATCAACCTTTTTATGAATAAATGATTTTAAGTGCATCTTGTTTATTGTAATGTTTTCATACTTGTATAATAAAAATATTATTGGTCCTCTAAATTGTAAATGATATGGAAATGAAAGCAGAGTAAAACGAGGCAACAGAATTGTTGAGAACTAGATAGTGTATGTATTGAGTTATGCTCTCCCACACATTTAAACACTGCCAATACAAGGGTTGACTAGTTACTGTTTAAAGCTTCACTCGTCATGCAAACGTTCCAGGTGGTTTAACTATGTAGGCACAATGGGTAAGGCCAATATCTGGTGTGCTCTCTTCAATAGACACCCTTCCGAAACACCTCGTTTGTTTGTTTGTTGTTTAACGCAGCATTGAGCAATATTCCAGCTATATGACGGCTCGGGTAGCCTAGTGGTTAAAGCGTTCGCTCGTCACGCCGAAGACCCGGGTTCGATTCCCGACATGGGTACAATGTGTGAAGCCCATTTCTGGTGTCCCCCCGCCGTGATATTGCTGGAATATTGCTAAAAGCGGCGTAAAACCAAACTCACTCACTCACTATATGACGGCGGTCTGTAAATAGTCTGAACCAGACAATACAGTGATTGATATCATGAGCATCGATACACGCAATTGGGATCGATGACATGCATCAATCAAGTCGGCGAGCCTGACCACCCGATCCCGTTAGTCGCCTCTTAGGACAAGCATTGTCACCTGGAAACACCTCAATACTTGGTAATGCAATTGATTGTCATAACCAGTAGTGTGTTTCAACTGTGCTCAATATTTTTTACAGCAGGGGAAAATATTTTAATAGTCTCTAATGTAGAGTGAAATATAAAAAAAATAGTAAGACGACCTCTGTACAGTATGGCTTATTATACACTAATGTATAAACGATTAGCACAACACCTATATGCGCTAAAATAAAGTATAATTATGAACTATTTAATGCACCCGTGTGCTAAAATATAGTAGTGAATGTAGTTAGTTTCACTGCAGTGAGAGTACTTGCATTATTGTGATTAAAT